TCTCCCTATTTATTTCAGAGCCCCCTTCCCCTCCCCCTTTTCTGATGAAGGGTCTAGGCCCGAAATGTCAGCCTCTCTGCTCCTATGATGCTGCTTGGCCTGCTGTGTTCATCCAGCCCTGCACATTCAGAAGAGAGTTGTGTTTTTAACATTGCTAAAGAGAATTTTTTTAAGTTGCGGAGGAGAGTTTTTTTTTTTAAAACGGAGTTGTGTTTACGGAGCTTTTGGAGAGGCCTACATGTGGACAGTTCCTAAGTGAATACTTTTTTAATTGAAAGCTGACTGATGGGCCCCTTGTCCAGGAATCATTTTTATTTTAATTCCATTGTTCAAATAAGTGCTTGATTTTGTTTAAGATTTATATGTCTGATTTTTTTTTATTTCTTATTTTTTGCATTGTTAATATTAACACTCTGGGTAAAGAAAGGTACTTTATTTCATATATAAGGTGCTATTGTAAGCTGCTTCTTTTTAGGCTTAATGGCATTGAGAGTATACAAGAGAGACAAAGTTTGATGGCTAATAGATTTAGAGAAGCGATTACACAGCAGGATCAGTCAGATAGATGGCTGACTGTCAGGAAAAGTAAGAAGGTAGTTCAGCAGCCTCCTGCTGCTATTCCTCTCTCAAATAGATACTTAGTTTTGGGTAACTGTTGAAAAGGAGAGTGTCTCAGAGGAAAATAGAAAGATAGTCAGATCATGGGCACTAGCAGCGAGTCTTACGTAAGGCAGGGTTTGACAAAATTTTTTAAAAATCTGTCATAGGGGACTCTTCTGCCAAGGGCACAGACAGGAGATTCTGTGCCAGTGAGCGCGAATCTAGAATAGTACGTTACTTCCCTGGTGCCAGGATTAAGGATGTCTCAAAATGTATAGTGTTAAGGGTGAGAGGGAGAAACCGGAAGTTATTGTATACATTGGTACACACTATGACACAGTTAGGCTTTACAGAGTGACTATAAGAGTTTAGGTAGAAGGTTTAAAAAAAAACCTCAAAAGCAGTAATCTCTGGTTTACTCCCCGTGCCAAACTCAAATGAGGGAAGGACTAAAAGGATAAAGAAGATAAATCAATAGCTGAAGAGGTGTTGTCATGTTCAGGGATTCAAGTTCTTGGATCATTGGGATCTCTCCTCGGGCAGAGAAGACCTGTTCAAAAAGGATGGCCTGTACTGGAAAGGGACTAATATCCTCACGGGAAGATTTGCTGGATCTATTTCAGGAGACTGTAAACTACTAGAGAGGGGGTAGATGGATTCTAAGTCGCAGAATGCATAGAAAGATAGAGGAGTATGTTTCTGAATCCGAAAAGGACAAGTTAATTAGAAAAAACAAGACAAGAGCAAGCCAGAGGACACAGTAACTCTGAAGAATTAAACAGCAATTATTTCAATGCAAGGGCTCTTACCCTTGCTGATGAACTTAGGACATGTGCGAGAATATGGGATTGGGGCGTTATAACTATTACAGAAACTTGGCTGAGGGATGGACAGGACTAGCAGCTCAACGTTACAGGTTTCAGGTGCTATAGGGAGGATAAAAAGGGAGGCAAGTTAGGAGATGGAGTGGCATTTTGATTAAGGGAAACATTACTGCTGTAACTAGAGAAGATATTTCTGACAAATTGTCCAGTGAAAATATATGGGTTGAAAATGAAATAAAAAAGCATCCCTTGATGGGATTGTACTACAGACCTTCCAATAGTCAGAGGGAAATTGAGGGACAAATATTTAGAAAGATCTCAGATATATGTATGAATAATAAGGTTTTAATAGTAAGTGATTTTAATTTTCCAAACATTGACTGGGACTACCATAGTGTTAAAGGCTTGAATGGTGAAGAATTTGTTAAATTTGTTCAAAAAATTTTCTTATTCAATATGTCAATATTCCTACAAGAGAAGGAGCTAAACATGACCTTGTCTTGGGTAATAAGGCAGGGCAAGTAACTGAAGTGATAGTAGGGGAACACTTTGGGTCTAGTGATCAAAATTCTATTAGTTTTAAAATAGTTATGGAAAAGGATAAGCCTTCGATAAAAATTAAAGTTTTTAATTGGAGTAAAGAAAATTTTAATGGCAAGAAAGAAGAACTTTCAAAAATTGATTGGAGTAGACTGTTTGCAGGTAAAGGGATGGCTGACAAGTGGGAGGCATTCAAAAGTGTGATAACGAAAGTTCGGAGGCATTATGTTCCTGTTACGAGTGAAAGGTAAGGCTGGTAGGAGTAGAGAATAATGGATGAATAAAGATAGGGAAATATTAAATGAATATTTTGCATCGGTTTTTACTGTGGAGAAGGAAATGGAGGCTAGAGAACTTAGGGAAATAAATATTGGTGTTTTGAAAACTGTTAACATTACAGAAGTGGAAGTGCTGGAGGCCTTAGAAAATATAAAGGTGGGTAAATCTCCAGGACCTGATCTAATGTTTCCCAGGACTTTCTGGGAAGTTAGGGAAGGAAACTGTGGGTCCCTTGCAGAAATATTTATATCATCTATAACTACGGGTAAGGGGCCAGAGGACTGGAGAGTGGCTAACGTTGTGTCTTTGTTTAAGGAGGGATGTAAGGAGAAGCCGGGGAAGTGTAGACCCACGAGTCTGACTTCAGTAGCGGGTAAACTGTTGGAAGCGATGCTGAAAGATAGAATTTACATGCATTTACAGAGGCATGGAATGATTAGGGATAGTCAGCCTGGTTTTGTGCGAGGGAAATCATATGTCACAAACTTTGATTGAGTTTTTTTGAGGAAGTAACCAAGAAGATTGACAAGGACAGAGTGGTAGACACTGACTCTGTAATTATTGTTGATTTTATTTGAGGTTATAGTTCATTGCCATTAAACGCCTTTGTGCAGCGCCTGGATTTTCTTTTTTGTTTCTTTCCCCAGCTCACCCCTGTGTGGGTGATTATACATTGTAGGAGATATTTATTAGTATTTATATTAAACAGTGTGTACCTTTCTGTAACGCCTGGTATTTCTCCAGCTCGTGCTGCAGCTTCCTCTGGATCCCGTCCGCCATTTTTCACCGAACTCTGACCCCGTCGCGCGTTGACGTCAACTCGCGCCCCTCCCCCCCCCCCCCCCCCACCAACCGCACTGACCTCAGCAGGAACTCACCGAACGTCACAACAAGGTGCAGGGCTGGATGAACACAGCAGGCCAAGCAGCATCATAGGAGCAGCGAGGACCACGCCCCCCCGGCGTTGTCGTCACCCCGACCCCGCCCCCAGGCAGCCCCCCCCCCCCCCCGGAAAACGTCACCCCTGACCACGCCCCCGGCTCTAACGTCACCCCTGACCACGCCCCCGGCTCTAACGTCACCCCTGACCACGTCCCCGACGCTAACGTCGCCCTGACCCCGCCCCCGACGCTAACGTCGCCCCTGACCACGCCCCCGACTCTAACGTCGCCCTGACCACGCCCCCCCACCAGACCTGTTGAGCTTTTCCAGCAATTCCTGTTTTTGTGTACATCCTCACATCCTGCTTCCTGTAAAGACTCCATTCCCATTCCCAGTTCCTCCACCTTCATCGCATATGTTCACATGAGGCCAACGTTGACAAGGGAGCCTCCGAAATGTCCACTTTCTTCCTCAAACGAGGATTCCCCGGCTCTGTGGTCGACAGGTCCCTCAACCGGGTCTGACCCATCTCCCGCACATCCACTCTCACCCCCTTCTCTTCCCTCACTCAACGCCAGTAGGGTTCTCCTTGTCCTTACCTACCATCCCACCAACACCGACACCCAGAAGATCATCAGACGCCATCTCTGCCATCTCCAGCGAGATGCCGCCACCAGACACATATTCCACTCTGCTCCCTTGTCCCGGGACATCCTGGTCCGCTCTTCCTTCGCCCCCAACACCCACCCACAGCCCCACGGCACCTTCCCCTGTAACCGGCGAAGGTGCAACACCTGTCCATTTACCTCCTCCCTCCCCAGTACCCAAGGGCCCAAACATACCTTCCAGGTGAAGCAACACTTCACCTGCACTTCCCAGAATCTAGTCTACTGCATTCACTGCTCACAATGCGGTCTCCTCTACACTGGGGAAACGAAGCATAGACTGGGTGACCGCTTCACAGAACATCTGTGTTCTGCTGGCAACAAAGACCCTGAGCTTCCAGTTGCCTGCCACTTTAATACACCACCCTTCCTTGGCCAATATCTCTGTATCAGGCTTGCTGCAGTGTTTCAGCGAAGGTTGACACAAGCTGAAGAACAACACCTCATTTTCCACTTGGGGATCCCGCAGCCCTCCAGACTCAATATCAAGTTCAATAATTTTAGGGCCCAAGCTCCCCCATGACCCAGCCCCCTACCCCACACACCAGGCCTTGTTATCACACAGCCTGTCATTACACACTACCTATTGTGAGTTACTAACAGTCCCCATTAACAACTGTTCACCCTCCCAGCCTGATCATTATCAACTCCTTTGTCGGTCCAACTGTTCTCTCTCTTTGGGCTCTATCCCCACCTATCGTTTACTCCCTACCTGCTCCCCCCATCCTATCCTCTACATATAAACTAACATGTTCTTGGCTACTATCAGTTCTGAGGGAGGGTCACTGGACCCGAAACATTAACTCTGATTTCTCTCCACAGACGCTGCCAGACCTGCTGAGCTTTTCCACCAACATCTGTTTTTGTTCCCTGTTGGGTTTGCCCGTGAATCTTGTATGTTCCGATAAGGTCACCTCTCGCTCCAAACTCCGATCAGTAGGGGCCCAACCTACCCAACGTCTCCTCAACCTGGGGTCAGACGAGTGAAACTCATCTGGGGCTGCCTCCAGTGGCAAGACCATGTGAACCATGGCAGCTCCACACCGCCTTCAGGCAAAGGTCCTGCAGAACCCATTGATTGACTGATTGATTTGTTGTCACATGTGCCTGAGTACAGTGAAAAGTCTTGTTTCCGAGCAGTACCAGGAAATTGTAGTAAGCAAAGGATGTACAGATCAAACAACATTCCAACCAACTGGATCCCAAAGAGCATCTCTGCCGCTGGATCCTGGTCTCCCAATTCCGCAATGGTCAGCTCTCATCGAATCAGAGAACCTTGGTTGCAGAAAGAGGGCCTATCGAGTCTGTAACTCTCTGTTTTCTATGAGCTGTTCAATCCTCTATCCATGCTCACATCACCATTGTCAGCAACTCCTCGCTATCAGGTTGGGGGTGTGTCTGATTGTCCACCTAGGAAATTCTGCGTCACTGGTCATGGGTCTGTGGTTCCTTGTGTGGCCAATGGGCCTGATCCTAGGGCTGCATCTCCAAATACACATTTGGCAGGTGTTTCGAGGAGATGGGATTGGTCTTTGGCATTTCTTTCTTCAGCTCCTTTTCTGTATTTCCGCTTACCGACATGTGCTTTCCGAGGATTGTGTCCCTTCATACAGGAGTTTCCTCCATGTCAGTTTCTTCTGAATGAGGGTCTTCCACATGTTGACGTTTATGTTGCATTTCTTGAGGGTAGCCTTTCGTAAGTCTTTGAAATGCTTCCTTTGTCCTCCACTTGTTTTTCTGCCTTCCTGGAACTGCGTGAAGAAGATTTACTTTAGCAGTCAAAACTCAGACTTCCTAAGTAATTGGCCATCCCAGTGGAGTTGG